CGGGTGGTCCTTTTGAGGCGCGGTTTCCGGCATTGAACTCTGCTAGCTAAGCCCTTTAAACTGATGTGCATATTGACCTATGCTTCTATTTAAGATTTCCTTCTGACTCCTTGTGGGACGTCCCCATGATATGACAGAAAATTGATAGTTCCTTAAAAAAGTAGATTTTTAAGTGTGGTGTTGATGTGCAAAATATTATTGATTTATCTGTTGTCGTTTAGAAAATATTAAACAGGTCCGGGACTTTTGGGACAGTCTGTATATTGCGTATGTTGTAATGGAAAATGTCTATGTTTATAAAAGTCACAGTATTGAAATACTGTTAAGACCAACACTATCATACCCAAAAATACTATTTTATAATATTTGTTATAAAATATTATACCTAATGCAAAATAATCTTTTCCCGTTTTCCGCCGTTACCTTTCTCTTGTCACTTGTCGTCACTCTCATTTTGACTGACTTCTGTTGCTAATCTCTTGTTGTATGTTACTTGTCACTTTTCACCTGTCATTTATTGCCTGTCACAGGTCGTCTGTCTTATCTGTTACTCGTCATCTATTACTTATCACCTGTCTCCTATCCTCTGTTACTCGCCATCTATTACTTGTCACCTGTCTCCTATCCTCTGTTACTCGCCATCTATTACTTATAACCTGTCATCTGTCACTTATCATCTGTCACCTGTCCTCTGTTAATCACCATCTATTACTAATCACCTGTCACCTGTCATCTGTTACTCGTCATCTGTCACTTATCACTTGTCGCCTGTCCTCTGTTACTCGTCATCTATTACTTGTCACCTGTCTCCTATCCTCTGTTACTCGCCATCTATTACTTATAACCTGTCATCTGTCACTTATCATCTGTCACCTGTCCTCTGTTAATCACCATCTATTACTAATCACCTGTCACCTGTCATCTGTTACTCGTCATCTGTCACTTATCACTTGTCGTCTGTCTTATCTGTTACTCGTCATCTATTACTTATCACCTGTCTCCTATCCTCTGTTACTCGCCATCTATTACTTATTACCTGCCATCTATCACTTATCATCTGTCACCTGTCCTCTGTTAATCACCATCTATTACTAATCACCTGTCACCTGTCATCTGTTACTCGTCATCTATTACTTATTACCTGTCATCTGTCACTTATAATCTGTCACCTGCCCTCTGTTGATCACCATCTATTACTAATCACCTGTCACCTGTCACCTGTCACCTGACACCTGTCACCTGTCATCTGTTACTCGTTATCTGTCACTTATCACTTGTAGCCTGTCTTCTGTTACTCGTAATCTGTAACTTATCCCCTAACACCTGTCACTGTCAGAAATCAAGGCTGTAAGTAAAGGCATATTGCCATTAGAAGTAAACCTATTGACAATAGTAATATATGAGTAAGATGTACCAGTAAAAAATGTCCTAGTTGAATTTTTTCCCTCTTTAGCTGAATAATTGTTAGTTTAAATATTCGGTTTACTCTAACTCCATTGCCACAACCAATAATTCCCGACATTAGTATAATAGTTGTATATGAAGAAGGTAAGGTATGAAGTGACATTTCCTTAACTAATAAAATTATTGATGATCTGGGAAACTGTAATTTTGACGAGCGATATTTCTTTATTAAATCAGAGTGTCGGATGATGCAATATCCATTATATTTTGCCGAGATAATTGACAATCTGGCTCCACGCCGCGCGCCGACGGCTGTGGATTACATGATCTAGCTCAGGAACCGTCTCAACTCAGGAAAAATGAACTCTCTAGACTCTCAATTACTGGTCATTCCCATTGGAGTTTATCATAAATTGCATACTGTTTTTAACCAACGAAATCACGTATACCTAGATTTTGGAGGACCTGTTTCAGTGATCTCAATTTTGTGTATTGTATTATAAGTGGTTGTTGTGTCATCCTCTAATGCATGAATACAAATTTCGGCAAAAATAATGTACCAATACTGTTTGTTTGGATTTAAGTCTAGTATGAACGCAGCTCTTAAAAGACTAGGTAAAACCTTATTACTGTGATTAATCAGAAAGTAGTAAAACTCAATTAAAACCCAGGAATGATAACCACAATCATAACGTAATATTAATAACTATCCTATTACCTCAGTTGGTATCACATTCTTGAAAATACAGCGATAAGATTTGATTATGTAGTTTCTTATAACTATTGAAATTCGAATAGAAACCTAATTCTAGTACGTTTGATACTATATATGATACGCTTTGTTTAGTCTTTCTTACTAAAATACTTAAATGTCATACAGTATCTGTTTTACTCATAAACAGGAGAATTGTTGACAACTAACTGTAATTCAAATAACATCAAAGATGTAAACGGTAAGCACAATTCATTAATAAAGTCCGGAAACATTCAGAGTGTATAAATTACAAGTCACACACAAAATATAGAATAATGGATTATAATTTTTTACATCAATTCTCGTAATATTAATTATTATTTAAAAACTTATATTTTATGAAACATATTATTATGTGGATGACCTCTGAATGCAATGATTGTACAATATTCTGGGAATTGCACAGATCAAAAGTCATATCTGTCGATTTAGAAAGGTTGCTAACGTTTTGTTCAACCATTCGTGGCGAAACTCAAGTGAGATTGCTTCAGTAAATTTCTGTATTAAAGTGAAACTGGTAAAGTTAGTTTCCAGTGGGATAAATCCATGCAAATAATTTAATCTAAATACACGTTTACACCATTTTACTTTGTCTTATTTTCTTATTAATAAGATTGTTAATGGTTACCATAGACATGAGAAAAAAATTCTTGGCTTCTCCGAATGGTACACGTTTAGAGTTTGAAAACCTTCTCAAAAATTTCAAAATAATTTCACCGTTCCCTTGGAGAGACATTAAGGTCATAAACGATATGCGACTTTTAATATTATGATCAATGACTTGAAGCTGTGAAGTTTAGTTTGAAAGTCCCAGAAAAGGTCATCACAATTAGTCTTATCTTACACCAGGTCGCTTTCGTGTTACTTTATTGCGAGTAGGGTTTTTAATAGGTGATTACTAGTTTTAGCCATTGAAAACCATCCCTATCATAACTACAAATGAATTACAGATCTACATATTATTTAGATGATATATATTTCAAAAATTAGTTTTTCCATATCATAACCAAGCCGACGTTAATCATTTAGTGTGGTGATTATCCATGGTTAATGGCAAACAGTTGTAAAAAATATTCAGAAGCACGATAACCCATTTAATATATGATTAGCCACCTATAGATATGATTGATATAGTTTTAATTTTACTTGTTGACTTAGTAGAGAGGGTTGTCATATGTAGGTAGCTTGTAAGATCCCGACAAGGATCCATGGATCCAGCTGGTATCTATCAATAAACGATTAGTTGGTTTAGATGGCTCATGTTAGAATTAGACGCCGACACACTAGAAAGCGTTTATAAGACGTTGATTCAATCAATCAATCATCAATCAAATATTCTTTATTCACAAAGTTTAGACAATATTATGGGAGTTGAAGTAATTGTCTTATGATGTAAAAACTTTTACGTTCTACAACAAACATTATAAATTCAACAAAAAATTTTTTACAGACATTCAACTCACAATTATTTATTCAACGGATGAATCTAATGAAGAACAACTGCCCCCCCCCCAGATTTGAACCATTTAAGAATTTTTTATACTTTTGGTGACACCATTTTCTAAAGTAAGCACTATTATTCTAGCCTGTTAGCAGGAGGACTATTTTCCGTATAACACTAATTGGTTATTTAATTTAATATGCAACAGAATTGTATTAACGTAGTGAACGGAAACACTTCGTACCGTGTATGCGGGATGAATTTTAAAACTTCGACTTTTAAAAGGAAAGAAATTGTTCAAAACCCCCCTCATACTATTCAAGATTAACCAGGGGTATTGGTTGTAAACGGAGACTTTTGACAACAAGTTGTTTGTACCGCCAAGGTTGGGTTGTTTTGTACTACAACCAGTGACCTAGATGCCATTGATTGTGCCTCGGGTTGCATTTGATGACATTGCGATGCAGCGCGGTACAATAAAATGTTCTTATGGTAAATCTTGTTGCAAATCCCTTTACTGAATATTATACGGTAGAGATTGTAATGAATCTATCGCATTCAGTTGTAAGTTGCACTAGCATTAAAATATAAAATTTAATAGGTAGGGTTTAAAAAGTACCAGCGACTAGTATTTTACATTTACAAAAATATAATGACATAATACTGCACCTAAGAAGAGATTGATTTCTTTGAAAAGATGGTAATAATGTAGGCGTATTCCTTTTTAGTAAGCAATTATAGGTCTGCCACTTAAGGCAACATCTTTATCGTTGCCTTAATTACAACCAACAATAATTATTTTAAGCTATTTTCAATATGTAGTAAACTGTATCATGGGGTTTGATTGCAAAAACCCCATATCTGTACTATAGTTTGTGTAGTGTTTACTAACAATTTAAAAAAACCATACAGCAGTGTTTTATAGCCTATAACTATGCTGTCAAAATCAAAAGGAGTTTTAAACAAGTAAAGCAATTCAATTATAAATGGAGTTATCCCAACAAATTCAACTTATACGTATCAAAAGATGTGTTTCTTTGATTAGTTAATAGGTCAAAACAGTATTAAGAATTACATATTTTTTTCTTTTTACTTTTCAATGAAATGTACTTGTCTTGTACGAATAAAGATATTTTGATTTGATTTGATTTGCCATCGAATTATTAAACACTCTTTGAGTTACAAAGTACTATTGCGGTTATTAGCAAGCATATAAGACTCAAGAGGATCGAGCCTAATCTTGCTTAAATCTCATCTCTCATCTTCGTAAATACAAATTTAAATATTGTGCGATATAAACTTGTTAAACATACTATACATAGTCAGATAAAAATTGGCCCAATCGTATACTACAAAATAAACGAAGCAAAAACAAAAAATTTTAACTAAAATCATACTAACCAGCAAGTGAAGTATCCGAAATGTGATGTTAGCTGGACGAGCACGAGCTCAAACATACTGCATGACACACAGAACACACAAGAACACAACACATGACACAATGCTGGTGACACACAGTTTGACACAATATCTGCTACTGAGGTGCAGCGGCTAAGTGGCACAGTGACCGGCACACTGTCTGGAGGTGGTCCGACCACTTTTACTTTCCTGAGCAGACTGAGCCAGGGACCATGTAACTCAGTCGATCACTAGGTCACGAGGTAGAGAAGATCGTCACGACTGTGGTGAGGTTTGTACTATACTACAATTGCGACATTGTAAACACTGCGTTGCACGTGCAATGTGTTCGAATTGCAATTTTACAATGGGTTATAAACAAAAAGGATTCGTAAATACTGACCAAATGGGAACATTGACCTCCAGTCACGTTGAGATGTAAAATCATCCTAGGTATACAAGTGTGACTTTTTTGGTGTACAGTCACAGTATGTTGAAAAAGTGCATTAACTAATCAAATTTGTATTTGTTTATAGGGTGAATCACAGCTTTATTTTAATACCGAATGAATAAATGAACTAGAAATATTCAAAGACTACTTATACTACAATAATTTGAAATCATAGGACTCTTTGTAGAGACTAAACTGCATTTTAGCTTCTTTACATGTAATTACTATTTTGAGGTCATTTAGAATAGTTACCAAAAATATTTGTACATATAATACATAAAATTATTTCTTATTTTATGTGAAGGAATATATATTTACTTCAGGTAAATAACGACTGAAGTCAGGTATAGCTCTTGAAAATATTTTAATTTTTAAAAGTAATTTAGAAATATATAGCCTACTTCCAGTTGTATCACTAGTCATTAATGTAAAATTTACTACACTTTACTACCTTATAGTTTTGTTATTTAGGTAGGATACAGTTTCATTCGCCTGGTTTAAAAACTTTGTAGGAATCTCAAAATATCCATTTCATGTAATTGAACCAAATTAAAATATGACAAAATGTGCTTATTTCAAATAATGTTATTCACTTTGGCATTCGAAATTTACCTGGTTAAACTGCAATAGGGTTGTGTAGCAAAACACATATAAAACACATCACGGAGACGGGAAGTACAAAATGAACGAACTGATGTGAGCCATTAACTAAAAGAAACACTGATGAAGGTGTGACCTAGCCAAGTGTATTTTCAACTGTATATTCCGAATGATTGCATTTCAAAGTATTTTTTCACACAATAGTGAAATGTTTTGAAGTAAATAGTGATATGTAATTGAAATTTACAAAACGATAATAGGGTATTAACTATAAAATTGAAAATTAAGTTTCAAAACAAATGGGATTGGCTATGGGTAAAAAATTAAGCAATATTTTTTTAAAAATATATACTAGAGGACCCATGCTGCTCTGTAGCTTTAAAATAAATATAATAACCGAGAAATTATTAAATTTATGATTTTTGATTGAGTAATACAGTATCTTGAGCTTAACTGATTCAAACGATCAAAAGCTCAAATTAAAGCCTATAATTTTTTGATTATTTTGAGTCTATGGGACCCTTGCTGCTCTTCAGCGTTAAAACCAATATAATATCCGAGAAATAATCAAATTTATGAGAAAAAACATATAGAAAAACATTACCAATACTCGGAGCTATTAATTTTCGATCATATAAAACCATATGAAAAATAATTTTTATATGGGTTTTCACCTTGCGTTTGCTTGAAACTCGTACGATTTGAATAAGTAATAGCCTAGATGAAAGCCAGTATTTCAATGAAGGTTCTTGGGCTAAACTATATAGGATTATAGTAGTCATGGCAGCGATCGGGCAGGAATTTGACCTTGAGATGATCTCAGCTGATTAGTTGACCACAGCTGACCACGTGCAGTAGGTGTTTGTATTAAATAAATTATTAAATTAAATATTAAATTATGGATAAAAAGTGTTGGCCTGACCGGGTTTCGAACCCCGGTCTTTTTGCTGGTAGTTGGAGTCGTTACCATATGAGCCACAACAGTAATTATGGGTATGGAGTTTTATATCGGTAAATGACACCTTATACCTATACCTACTCTTGTACCTTGCATATACAGGGTGTGTATTGGAGATTTGATTTTAACATGGTTCACGGGTTCGAATCTAACCTAATATCATTTCCGGTTATTTAATTCTAGCCTATGCTAGAGGTTCACGGGTTTAAATCTAACCTAATATAAAATATATCATTTCCGGTTATTTAATTCTAGCCTATGCTAGAGGTTCATGGGTTTGAATCTAACATAACATAAAATATATCATTTCCGGTTATTTAATTCTAGCCTATGCTAGAGGTTCACGGGTTTGAATCTAAAATAACATAAAAAAATATATCTTTTCCGGTTATCGGGTTCAATCCTAAACTATGCTAGAGGTTCACGGGTTTGAATCTAAAATAACATAAAAAAATATATCTTTTCCGGTTATTTAATCCTATCCTATGCTAGAGGTTCACGGGTTTGAATCTAACCTAACATAAAATATATCATTTCCGGTTATTTAATCCTAACCTAATGGTATTGTATTATAGTGGGAGGTTCACGGGTTCGAATCTAACCAACCACTAATGCTATTATAGTGGGAGAATCCTAACGCACAGCTGTTTATTTCAGTTGATCATGGGACTTAGTTTAGAGGTTCATAGGTTCAATCCTAGTAGGTCTGGAAAAAAACACATTATATAGTGTATAATGCTTAAGCGGAACTTTACCGTTGAGCATGTTATGTTGATATTATACATGTGTATCTCTGTAACTTATATATACAGGGTGTGTAAATATTGGTTGGAGGTTCACGGGTTCGAATCTAACCAATCACAAAACATGTTATTAGAGGTTCAATGCCGGATGTAATCTTACCACAGCTGATTACGTGATCTAGTTTAGAGGTTCATGGGTTCAATCCTATCCTAGTAGGATTTGTAAAAAAAAAACATTTTATATAGTGTATAATGTTTAAACCTTACCGTTGATCATAAAAGACTATTATAATATATATGTAGTAGCATTGGAGGTTATTTTATATAGTGTATAATAAATGTGAAACAAACAGATGTTAAAAACAGCTGAAAGAGGGCTTAAGTTTATCATTGAGTATAAAAAAGGGCCTTTGTAAAGGCCACCAAATATTATATGTTAAACTTACATCTAATCTATGCTAAACGAGTTACTTAGGTTGTTTTTTGTATAGTGAGAGGTTCATAGGTTTGATCCTTAGCGGGTTATATGAATTTATGTATGTAACCACAAGTGAAACAGGTCTATTATACTAGAGTACTAGTGTTGATGGTATAATTATAATAATGATTAACTTGATATAAGATTCATCATAACAGATTACTCTGAGTTGAGGTATTAGTTTATAAATTTTCTACTAGGTTGTAGCACTAGTGCTACCAACTACTGATTATATTGTATATGTAACATAACCTCAAACAAGTCTATTAATTTATTATTAAACGTTATAGGGAGTGTATATTATGTTGTTGTGTATAATGCTTAAGTGGAACTTTACTGTTGAGCATAAAACTTAATCTAAATATGTAGTAGGTTTATAGGATTGATTTTAACTAACCATAATTGGTATTGTATTATAGCGGGAGGTTTATGGGTTTAATACTTTGTAAAAAAACATTTTATTTTATATATGCTATAGTGTATAATAAATGTGAAACAAATAGATGTTAAAAGTGGGCTTAAGCAGAACTTTACCATTGAGTATAAAACTTATTCTAAATGTGTAGTAGGTTTTTAAGGGTTTGATCTATACTAAATGTTATAGGGTGTGTATATATGTTGTAGTGTATAATGCTTAAGTGGAACTTTACCGTTGAGCATAAAACTTAATCTAAATATGTAGTAGGTTTATGGGATTGATTTAACCAACCACAAATGGTACTGTATTATAGCGGGAGGTTTATGGGTTTAATACTTTGTAAAAAAACATTTTATTTTATATATGCTATAGTGTATAATAAATGTGAAACAAATAGACGTTAAAAGTGGGCTTAAGCAGAACTTTACTATTGAGTATAAAACTTATTCTAAATGTGTAGTAGGTTCTTAAGGGTTTGATCTATACTAAATGTTTGTGTGTATATATGTTGTAGTGTATAATGTTAAGCGTAACTTTACCGTTGAGCATAAATGGTAAATACTGTTAAATGTTGGTTGTTGTGTGTTTTGAGGTGTGTAAAAATGTGTTCTTGGTATAGTGGGAGTTTTAGAGGTTTATGGGTTTAATCCTAATCAAATGTGTTATTTTTGATATTGTATTGTAGTGGGAGGTTTATGGGTTTGATCTCTAGCTGATTATGTGATTTTGTATATTTAACATAACCTCAAGCCAAATAAGTCTATCACTAAGTGTTAATGGTGTTTTATTTTAAGTTGTTATAGTTTACAAATTCTCTATTATAGCAGTGTCTTATTAACTACTGACTATATGATCTTTTGTAAATGTAACATAACCTCACTTTTTACCTTAAAAGGTTTATTAATTTATCACTGGAGCGCTAGTGTTGATGGTATGGTAACAAGATTATAGTAATGATTAATTTGATATAGGATTCACTATAATGGATTACACCAATGTATTATTTGTACCACTTAAATCTCTTTAGTTTACAAATTTTCTACTAGGTTGTAGCACTAGATCTCTTTAGTTGTCATAGTTTACAAACTCTCTATTAGGTTGCAGCACTAGCATCTAGAAAGCTACTGTTAGCCTAGAGGTTCATGGTTTGATTCCTAGTTGATTATGTGATCTCTTGTATATGTAACATAACCTTACTTTTTACCTAAACATGTTTGTTTATCTATATTTGTGACACTAGGGCGCTAGTGTTGATGAAACCTATTTTGAGCTATTTCTATTTAATTTAATGATGTATTCAATAATAAGAAACAAACCATCTACAGAATGCCTGGTAAGAATGATTTTATAGTAATGATAACCTTACTTAGATGATTTAATCAACAGTATTTTCCCCTCTAAATGATATAATCTTATTTTATGTATTGCATACATATCTGTAACATAACCTCACTTTTACCCAAACAAGTCTGTTAATTTATATTTGTGATACTGGAGCGCTAGTGTTGATGGTATTTGTCTTGGGCTGTCTCTACTTGATTTAAAATGACTGAATAATA